TGAAACTGGCCCAAATGGTTTTTTGACCAGCAGTACCCACTCTTAGCGCTTTTTTCTAACTTTTTTTTTAAAATGTAAGTTTATAGGCATATACTTAGGTTTCATTGTATGAAGATAAAGATGATACCTCATGGGTTTTACTTTTTAATTTAGTAGAATTTAAATAATAGTACTATATGGGTTCTTAAAGATTAAAGGTACCACTTGTGTTTTACTTTTTATTTTAGAATTTAACTGGCCCAGACGGTTTAATTTGACGCCGACTGTTGATATCAAATCTTTTACACAAATGATACATGTCATTAGAATTAAATAAGTGTAAAGATAGTATACCTCTTAGATATTAACAGCAAATGTGATTGGTCAGTTTCACAGTCGATTAAGTAATTGGCGTTGGAGGAACTGGCCCAAATGGTTTTTTGACCATCAACACCCACTCTTAGCGCTTTTTTCTACCTTTTTTTTAAAAAGGTTTTTTAAAATACGTCGTCGTCATTGTCATTGTCGTTATCATCATTGTCGTTATCATTATTATCGTCGACCACATTCCATTCGATGTCCTTCTGACATTCCTGCCGCAAGAGGCAAATGTGACGCTAGTATATACCGCTCGATGTCATGGGAGTCATGGGGCATGTGGACTGTGAGCGGGAGCAGTGAGGTGAGAGGAGTGCAACTTTTGATTGATTTTCGAATAGTTTTCGTCCAGCTTTCGCTATCCCTCTTACTATACCGCACCGCGCACAGTACAATGCCATTCGATCATTATCTACCACTTGCAATGCACGCGATGAGATGAGGTGGGGAGGGGTGGGCAAATGTAACTTTTGACTGATTCGAATCGCCTATGTTCAGCTTTCGCTGTTCATCTCACCTTACCTCACCGTTCCGCGCGCAGAACAATGCCATTCGGCTGACATGGGACATTTGTATTTCACGCGGAGCTGTGAGATGAGGAGGACAGTGTAACTTTCGGTTGATTTTCGAATCGTTTACGTCTAACTTTCGCTGTTCCCCTAATCCCACTGCTCCGCGCGCAGAATAATTCCATTCGACTGCCATGGGACATTTCGACTGCAGGCGGAGCGGTGAGGTGAGGGAGTCAGTGCAACTTTCGGTTGATTTTCGACCGTCTCCGTCTAACTTCCGTAGTTCCCCTCACCTCACTGCTCCGCGCGCAGTACAATATGCCATTCGACTGTAATGGGGCATTTTGACTGCAGGCGGAGCGGTCAGGTGAGGGGGACTGTGCAACTTTCGGTTGATTTTCAAATCATTTACGTCTAGCTTTCGCTGTCTCCCTCACAACACCGCACCGCGCATAATTAATATATTACCATAAAAAGTAACTGTTTTACATTTATTTAATAATTTTGCTTTGTAATATGCGATCGCGTTAATGAATAAAAAATAAGTACCTTGTTCTAAAATTGACGCGTTAATATTAAACGGTTAGTGAAAGCAGCCTTGTGGATTGTTTTGATGTTGAAGGGCGGACGCTAGTCGCACTTCTCCTCTCACCCTGTTCACCAATAAACCGAGCAGTCATCATTTAAATCCATATTAAATAAAATTATTATTCTAAATACTACACCGACTGCTGACCGATATGACGTACATTTAAAAAAACTGTCGCAGTACTATCACGAGTTAAATCGTAATATATTACCACGGAAAGTAACTGATTATTAATTATTAAAGTTGCCAGTACAAAGTGATACAAAGTGAACATACGTAAAGTGTATGTAACTTTCGGCCGATTTTCGAATCGCCTCCGCTTTCCGCTGTACCTCTTATCTTATATTAAATACATATGTATATATACAGGGTGGCCAATTTATCTGAAGACATTGAAATATCTCGAGAACTATACATAAGATAAAAAAAGAAGTGCAACGAAAGTAGCTCGACACGAAGGGGGGAATCCAATGATACCAAACTCGGCCCCTACCGCCCCCCGGGGGCGAGGTGGGGGTGGGGGACATAAGAAACTTAAATAGGAACCCCAATTTTTTATTGCAGATTTGGATTCTCCAGGAAAAAGTACGCCAAGTTGACCTACGAACTTTAACATTTTGGTTCACAGGTGGCGCTGTAATCGATAAAAATCCAAATTTATCAGATGACATTGAAATAACTCGAGAACAAAAAAAAAGGTGGCTAATGAAACTTGTTAGCTTTAAAAGCTGCCTTCCAAAGAAAGCAAACTTGACCCCCCCCCCCCCTGATGGGGATTCTTGATTTGATATTATTGTTGTAATGTTTCATACGTGAAGCAATAATGGAAAGTATCGGGGAAAAAAATCATGGAGTTCATTATTAAATGTATCAAAAAATACATTTTGCGTTACCCGGGAACAACGACGTGGACGTAGTATTTTTCTGTTCCCTTTGGGGTGCTTGTTTTATGTGAGTCCCCTTGCCTCTCACAAATCGGGGTGCTTGCTTTATGTTTGTTGTGTTTGTCACTAATCTTGATTCTTAGTTTTAATGAGAATTATGTGCTATTATAAAATGCCGATATGTAATATGCGGAATACCGAGTGACAATACGAGTGGACTCACATAAAACAAGCACCCCAAAGGGAACAGAAAAATACTACGTCCACGTCGTTGTTCCCGGGTAACGCAAAATGTATTTTTTGATACATTTAATAATGAACTCCATGATTTTTTTCCCCGATACTTTCCATTATTGCTTCACGTATGAAACATTACAACAATAATATCAAATCAAGAATCACCATCAGAGGGGGGGGGGTCAAGTTTGCTTTCTTTGGAAGGCAGCTTTTAAAGCGAACAAGTTTCATTAGCCACCTTTTTTTTGTTCTCGAGTTATTTCAATGTCTTCTGATAAATTTGGATTTTTATCGATTACAGCGCCACCTGTGAACCAAAATGTTAAAGTTCGTAGGTCAACTTGGCGTACTTTTTCCTGGAGAATCCAAATCTGCAATAAAAAATTGGGGTTCCTATTTAAGTTTCTTATGTCCCCCACCCCCACCCCGCCCCCGGGGGGCGGTAGGGGCCGAGTTTGGTATCATTGGATTCCCCCCTTCGTGTCGAGCTACTTTCGTTGCACTTCTTTTTTTATCTTATGTATAGTTCTCGAGATATTTCAATGTCTTCAGATAAATTGGCCACCCTATATTGCGACCGTACTCACGAGGGCAACTTCGTCGCTTTTTTCTACTCTCAATTTTTCTCTCAATGACTCTCAAAGATGGGCGCCAGGCACGAGAGAGCGTGCCACTCTTCGATACTTTATTAATTCTCATAGACCGAATCTAAATACTCGAGATATCTCTAACGTTACGCTAAATATTACTGGAATTTTCTCTCATAGCGACGGCGGAACCGGCAAGCTCAGCCACTAAAGAGGTAGAGGGGGCTCTTCGTGTGAGCAGGAAAGGTTCGAGGAACGAGAGAGAGAGAACGCAATAATTACACTCAGAATTAATATAAAACAAATACAACATTTATTTAAATAAATAATCAACGACATCTCGGGAGAGAAGAGAAACGTAATCAGGGTAGCAACTTACTTTACTAACAGCGCGATACAACAATCGTGCGCGCGAGTCGTCGAGCCTTCTATTCGCGGTATCCGATGAGTTATTCAATAGAAATTGCGATTTCTCCGGCTAAGATCATTGCTCTTATTCTAGCAAAAACAGAAAACTCTAACTCGACGACCTTACTCGAGAGCGTCAACAATTACACAATTACGGACATTATATTTAATCGACTGCAGGAATACATTCATTCTCGCGACTTATTTTAATGCCGGGCTCGATCCAACACCCGTTTCGCGAAGGTCATCGAGGCTTCTCCTCGCAGTACCAAAAGAACGGAACGACAATGTCCACGGCTTTCCCGGCTACAACCCTCTCAAAATATGAGTATTAATTTTAAAAGAATTCTTATATATAAAAAATTAATCTTGGCATACACATAACGAGGTATTCAAGTGCATGTTCGAGTTAGTCTGAGTAAAATCAGACATAAAGTTGGGATAATGTATACTGGCCTCGTCTAATGTAAGTGCAAGATTGTAGCACTGGCATCAAGAACTATCAATGTACTCGGATCTAATATCTTTATATTATTATCGTTTTTAATATATACTGACTGTTGTTAAGTACATTGTATTTTGTGTCAATTGTCCCTTGATCATCTACCCAGCGAGAAATGACTCATCGAAATGATATAAAATCGACATCGAAAACATGTTTCGAAAACTGATCGAAATATTCATCGATTTCGATGAATTCATGGTACTCGATTCGATGAATTTTCGATGCTCAGATTGATTCGATTTCGATGAATTTTCAACGTTCAAAACGATTCAATTACGACGAATTTTCAATGCTTACTATGAATCAATTTCGATGCATTGTTGACTTGAAACGAAAATATTTATGATATATCATGATATTCTTCAAGTACACAAAAGTAACGCGTTACTTTTTAAAATTGGTAACGGTATTGAGTTACTTTTTCAAAAAGTAACGATAACGCGTTACTTTCTTGAGGTAACGCACAGAACCCATATATAAATATGTACATTCATAAATGTTCACATATAAAAAAATTTTCAACGGGTTCTTCTAGCTAAAAAAAATTCCATTAAAAGTTGAAAAAAATGACTACAATTTATTTTTTATTGCATACAAATTGCATACACATTGCATTAAAAAACCGGATCATTTTACTTTCTTGAGGTAACGCGCAGAACCCATATATAAATATGTACATTCATAAATGTTCACATATAAAAAAATTTTCAACGGGTTCTTCTAACTAAAAAAAATTCCATTAAAAGTTGAAAAAAATGACTACAATTTATTTTTCATTGCATACAAATTGCATACACATTGCATTAAAAAACCGGATCATTATATATGTAGTTACAAAAAGAATATATACTTATTACAGAATATACAAAGAATAAAATATATATTATATAATATAAAAACATGAAAATATTACTTTCCGGGATTCTCTCTTTCTTATCTAGTTTTTTTTGTTCTTTTTCCATCTTTATCATCTTGTTTGCGCCAGGGGGCATTGGCCAACCATGATTTCATGGTTTCTTCTGCTTCGAAAAGTAATATATTGTCAAATTTAATCAATAATGAACCTGAAACACACGTATGAAATCACATTCTACAATAAAAAGTACAAAATACAATTAACCCTTCTATCGGTACATGGGTACCTATATAAAATTTTAAACAGTAAAATTTTTATATTTGTACTAATTTATTCACACTTTAAAATCAGTCTCGTCCTTCAAATAAATAATAATTTTGCACAGATTTCACTTCGTTTTGAATTTAATTTTATTAGCGGAAATCTTGTAAAACACGATAGTAAAAAGAGGTAAAAAATTATGCATTGATACAAGAATTAAAATAGAAAATATTAATAGAAAAATATCTGTTCTGATGTGTCACTGAAGTTAATTTATTTCATCTAAAGAGATTAAATAATGAATAATTGCATAATACTTAAATCTATGTATAAAAATTATATCATGAGTAAGTCTTACCCTGTATAGCCTCCCGTATTTTTAATTTATAAAAGGGTTTTTTTTTGTTCTGTCCTTTAAAACTCATTGTAGATGCCACCGAGTTTGTAAGAAGTTTTACAGCAATTCTTACAGTAGATTTTGCTATATCCTTGGATATGATAAAAGAACTTAAATAATCACACTAAAAAAAAGATAAGAAATAAACAATAGAAAATATTTCTTATCAACTAGTCATAAATTTTTTTATCTTGAAACTTTCTAATTTAAATACTAAAAGTGCAATTACGAATTACCCAGTAAACAACATTTAACAATAATATAACATCAATGTTATAATTTTCCACTTAACAATATAAATGCAATATAACACATGTGTTATAAATTATGCGAGAAAAGATACATATTTTTATAAATTTTTATTTAATTTACAAAGGTGAAAAGAAATTGTTTTGTATGAAATTTGTAAAATGTTGGTTTTCAATAGTATCAAAATAAAAATAAGTTAAAATAATAGAAAAATATTTCTTACGAAACATAAGTATGATTAAAATTTCACTATTATATTTACATCTAAATATCGTGTTAGTGATTTAAGAAGAGACTGTACTGACAATGAGTATTAAAGCATGTGCACTTATAATGTACAATATCTCAACAAATTTTTATGTATTACTATATTATACATTATTTAATGTACCACAAATGACAAAAATGCTGAAATATACTAACATAAATAAGAAAATATTAATTTAGGTTTTGTTATAAAAAAAACGTGATATGTGAAAAATGATTAAAAGTAAAAAATAAATAAATAAATATAAACATAAAAAAATAGATGATTACTCACCATACTTGTAAAATTGTTATCATCTTGTAAATATGTTTCTAACAAGTTTAGTTGATCTTCTGTCTTAATAGGTAAATCTGGAAGATTTGCAGGTTTTTGAAACCTTTTTTCATTTGGGAGAAGAGACCTGTTAAACCTCCCTTGATTCATGAGAACTATATCTAGCTTCTTATTAATTTCTTCTAATCGAACATACACTCTCTCATTTAGCTTTTCTGCGAGTGTCTTATTCTCTTTATCTACATTAAAAAAGAAATATACATTTTGGAATTGCATTATAAATTTTATGAGAGAACTTACCATCAGAATTTATAGATCTTTTGCCTATAGATGAAAAGGAATTACGTTGAAAAGATGCAGAATTAACGGGATTAAAACGTCTTGTTTGCAGAGAAGAGTTATAAGACAACACAGAAGAATTCGAAGTAGACTGGACATCGTCATCAGTCTGATGTTTATTTAATATTTTACTACAGTTCTCTACATCTGTTGTCAAAGAGAACAGTTTAGTGAAAAGATACAGAGACTATTAGATATATTTTTCTTGAAATCATGTCGCTCATTTGCTGAAAAAATAACATAACTCAAAAAATCAAGTTTTCCAAAAAATTAATTTAAATGTTCTCAACTATTACAGATTTTTAATATCATTTTTAATTAGGAATTTATTCAGAACAAGTAATTCTACAAGAATAAAAAATAACCATTAGCTCTTTATTCAGTGTATTAAATTTCCATCTAATATAAAGTAAATCCTTATAAAAAACCCTTTTTTATTTTTGACATTCTTGTTACAAAATAGTTTTCAATTCAAAATTATTTAGTAATATAATGTTGTTAGAAAAAAGTTTAGTTACCGATTATTTTGTTGAATTATTTAAAAGTTAAAAGTTGAAATTGTTACGTCCTGTAGACTCCACGATTCTTTTCTTTCAAAGGATCTTGGTCAGCGTCATGACCAGAGTGAAATTTACGAGAAGGGCCCGAGCGCGGATATCTGATAATCGAGGCCTAAGTAAACACCACGCGCTGGGAAACTCGTAAACGCCACTCAAAAGAAAAATAAAACGAGGAAAACAACTTGCGTACAAAGGGCTGACGGCGATAAAAATTGCGAAACCACATATTTCTAAAGCGGTCATTAGATGACGAACACTCTAAGGTATCATCTGGGAACTTTAAGAAAACTAGCTTAAAAAAATAACTGGCGCCATGTCCATTGTGCCAAATCGTAAAACTCTTAGAGAATTTCCCACAGCAATGTTCATTTGACACCCAATAAATGAAGCGCGGAAACCGACGACTCTTCTGGTCATATATTTTTTCTATAACAAAGCGCAACGTGGTTCCGACTGTAATTTCCTACGCATAAAACTCTCAAGAAAAATTGTAAATTACTTTATTTTTCTTAACTCCCCGAGAACACGCGAGATCAACCTCGATAGGACTAGCAAAAATCGTAAAATCCTTTATTCTCGGAGCTCTTCCTAGAAGACGCTTGATATCAATATCGATAGGAGTTAAGAAAAATCGTAAATCATGTCACAAGTTGCTAGCGTTGCAAAAATTTCCAGACAAAGGAAAAGCCCGCCCTTTTGGGGTATAAATACGAGGCCCTCGGAAGCGCACAGCGTCAGTAGTAATCTTCAGCACCACCGTGTCAGTAGTCCGAGGCGATAAGCCCGAGTCTACTGTCCGGCCTCTCTTGTTCGCTCAGTCACCTCTTTGGTCGACAGTCAGTTGTTCGAGGCATCGCCCGAGTCAACAGACCAAGATCTGGTGGTCGGTTAGAATCAGTGCATCGAAGTCCACCAGAACCATCCACGACCGACCGTGCGCCTCCAAGGCTTCGTCGAAGTCCACCAGGACCATCCACGACCGACCGTCCGCCTCCGAAGGCCTTTGAAACCTGCCTTCAGCAGATTCCGCTGTGGACCAGGTCATTACTGTGAGGGACTGATCGCCGCCACCTTTCTTTTTTCCGGGTTACAAGTAAGACACATTTTTATTTCCCTTCCTCCCCCCTTCACTTTCCCTAAGAAAAAAAAAGAGAATTTACGTAACAAATTACTTGGACGTAAACTCAAATTTTAATTTTTTTTTATTTTATTTCTCCACACCTAATACCCTCTTCGCATTTTAGTGCGCACTCAGGGTGCCACTAGAGAGGCCCGCCCAAGAGGCCCTTACTCGAAGAGACGCCGGAGTTCGCGGCTCTGTCAATCGCCTCTCCCCGTAGATATTACGCTGACGCCTCTACCCGTAGATATTACGCCGACGCCTCTACCAGTTGATATTACGCCGACGCCTCTACCCGTAGATATTACGCTGACGCCTCTACCCGTAGACAATACGCCTACGCCTCTACCCGTAGACGTTACATCGCGTCCGTCAGTTATTGTTACGCCTCCCTCCGCTCAGCCCGCCACGGACACACGTACACCCACACCTACACAAGTACAATATCCGGAACCCTCCTACTCCCCTGTCGATTCCTCGGAATTCCCCTTAAACCTCACCAAATTCCCCCTGCTAACTCCCCTTGATTCCCCTTCGATTTCCCCTCTCCAAATGCACGAGAGATTTCCTCCCCTTTCCCTGGATGAGATTCCTATTCCTCCCCCATTCATAGAACCCCATTCACCTTCCCCCGTCACCACCTCCTCTTTCTCTGAACAAACTCTTTCTCCTCCCGTTACCACCTCCTCTTTCTCTGAACAAACTCTTCCTCCTCCCGTCACCACCTCCTCTTTCTCTGAACAAACTCTTCCTCCTCCCGTCACCACCTCCTCTTTCTCAGAACAAACTCTTCTTCCTCCCTTCACCTCCTCCTTCACCCCACAAACTTCTCTTCCTCTCTTCACCTCCTCCTTCACCCCACAGACTTCTCTTCCTCCCGTCACCTCCCCCTTTCCCCCGCAGACTTCTCTTCCTCCCGTCACCACCCCCTTTCCCCCACAGACTTCTCTTACTCCCTTCACCACCTCCTTTCCCCCACAGACTTCTCTTCCTCCCCCCGTCACCAGCTCTTTCCCTGGGCAGACGTTTCCTCCCCCTGATCTTTCTTCCACCTCCTTCCATCCCGCAGATCTCATCTCACAACATGAGATCATCACACACACATGTACATTCCCGGGATCTCCATCCCCTTTCTCGTTCGTATGAACGCTGTCCGACCCGCAGTCCCCTGTTCCTGCCAAAGGCACTTCTCTTAACTCCTCTCCCGTCCCACTCTTACACACACACAAACACGATAATTATAATTTCTACTATTTTTTTTTTTACGTACTTATATTTTGGTAGTTTTTTATTTTTGTAATTTTTCTTTTTTATATACTCATAATTAGTAATTATATTTTTACGTACTTGTGTTATGTTTAAGTCGTACTCACTTAATTATAATGCTTATATATTTTGTAATCGTAATTAATAAATGCGTAAGGAATTTAATTTTAAAATGCAAAACCCGTTTTAATTAATTTTCTTAAACCCTTTCTCGTATTCCTTCATCCATTCCCGTTAGATCGCACAGGTCCACTTCCAGGTAATAGGGATTAAGTTCCCTGACCTAAATTAAAGGACCAACGATCGTGACCGCTCACGGAAAAAGGCGTCATAGTGTCTCTTTCGAGACACTGACCCATTTTCCGGAGCATTTAAAGGTACGATCGACTCGCAGGACACTCCACGGTGTGTACCTGCGAGAGCCCGAACTCGATGACGCTCCTCCGTTGCCCCTTCCAAAATTTGGGGATCGAGCGTGACCGAATCTCGGGCAGAGTTCGTTGCTCCCTTCCGCAGCTCCTCCCGAAATCGGAGCTTGGACGTAACAAAATAATACATTCAAAATGATACAAGTATAGAATATTCTTATTTTTATCTTTGTAGCAATATCGTATTAATAGAAGATATAACGTTCTGCTTATAAACAAAATAAGTCTTTGTACTAAAACTGCTCAATGACAATTAAGATGACAATTTTTTAGTTATGTCATTGTTCCAGTAAATAAACAATATTATTAAATTTTATGAGAAAATTTACCAGAATCAAAATTATTAAATCTTTTGTTTGGAGAAGTAAAGATACTTTCTATAGTTGTTTTTTTAGGTGATTGTAATTTATTTGAACAAGACGGTCTGCTATTTTTGCTAAAATCAGATTTTTGTGCAATCGACATAGTATAACTATCAGTCTTATCATTTATTGTTTATCTTTTGTGTTTTCAGCTTCTTAACATTATTTTTTAAAACCTAAACAGAGAAGTGTTTTAAAAAATGTTAAAATTTTTTAACTTGTGATTTCTTAATATAAAGTTTAATATTCATTATGAGCTTTTAACTCACTTTCAAAGGAGAAGAGGAAACCATCGAACTAAGTTCGCGTTCTGCTTTTTTCAATTTATTTTCTTTGACTTGTTTGCATTTAAAAGGAACACTTGGCGGTAATGGAATTGACTTCTTGTTATGCTTCGTAATGTCTTCATCAAAATCAGAGTCTGAAAAAAGCTTTTTTTGTACTTTTTTTCGTTTTCCCCTCCCAGTTTCTTTTTCAGTCTCATACGCTAACCTTCTGCCACAAAACCTTTAACAGCAATTCTTGCTTTCATATAAAGATCTGTAATAAAGTAGGTTAAATAAATAGATATTAAAAAATATTTTATACAAAGATTTTATAATAAAAATACCTCTATGTAACTATATTAGCAAAATTAAAAAAAATTATTTTACGCATAAATAAGTTATAATTAATTTTTTCTATTTAGTTTCCATATTAAATCCACCATTCAATTCTTTAAAGTTTTATTTAAAATGTGTAATCAGTGATCCCAAAAACTCCCATATACTAAAATTCAGTATACGTTCAATAAAAAAAATTTGTATAACAAAAAGTTAAAACAATTAAAATTTTACTCACCATAATATCTTAGAATTTCAACTGAATACTTTGGCCAAGATTGATCGACTTGTTTTTCTTTTCTTACAAAGTTACCAGCATCTTGATCAGATGGAGGTCAATAAGTAAAGCCTTTCATTTGTTCGTCAATATTAGTTAGCCACTTCGTAAGACCAATTTCATAATTAATTTCCTCATCATTATCAACGTCCTCTTGTGTAAACTTTAACACTACAAACTAAATGATAATTATTATAATGATAATGATTGATTATTAGTGTGAATAATAGAATTTTAGCTGTGAATAATAGAAAATGAAATTCTATATATTTCTATATAGATAAATTTCTAACTGTGAAGAGTGCGATTTAAGATTATTGTAATGCTTGAAATATCGTTAATGTATGTAACAACGGCACACATAAAAAGGAATCATGATCCGGCATAAGCCAACATTTTGCTTTGATTTCAGACAGTGAAAAAATTTTAGTATTTTCACTTAATTGAGAAACAGTTACGATATCAAGAACAAATGAAGCAAGTGGATACGTGTAAAAATCATTAGTTTGTTGAAATAATCTTCCCAATAAAGATATGACATTCTCATTACAAATGATATCTTCAAGAATTATTACTTCATTAGAAGTTGTTAGTAAACACGAGTCCTTTTTGCCAGTATGTAGGACAACATTATCTATAGAAATTCGCTTGTAGTGTACTCCATACAGAACTTCCGTTCGTGGTGTTTGTTTTTTGGATAATTTAATTTCTTGACCATTGATTTCCAATATAATTGGTATAGACGTATTCCTTTCTGAATCTCTATTAGCAACTTGATGTAAAGGCATGTATCCAGATTTAAGTGTGTCCTTAATGGATTTCAGAAAATTTTCGTATCTAAATGCACTATATTGATCTAAATGGCCGTGTAAAGTACATTCCTCTGCCAAATGTGATAGTGCATGAACATTGTATACTACAAACTTTTTTCCATATATGGTGGAACTATGTGTAATAAATGTTCTTAACAATTGATTTGCATAGTCACTCATGGAATGAACCAGGATAGGACTTGATAATATATATATACATATATAGCAGAATGTAATAAAAGAAAATTCTTGTAGATGCCTTCATTTAAAAAATCTCTGAAAACAAGGATACCATCGTATAGGCATAATCGACGAAACTCCGTTCCTTTGAAAAGTTTCAGTTCTTCTAATGATCGTGGCTTTCTATTAAAATCTTGAGGGCAATAGTCTGAGACAGACTGTAACATTCTTGATATTGCAACAACAACAGTTCTATGAAGTTTCTATGGACCATTCCACTTCAACCAAGCTGTGAGTAATCTCTTAAAAACAACCAGATACACAAGGTGGAGACTATCTAATCGAAATTGTGATACCATTTCTGTATTAATTCTTTCTAATATAGAATGTCCTTGGTGATGTTGAAGTTGAGTCTGTTGTAGAAATGAGTAATCTGTTCTTAGAGCTTCATCCATTTTAATATGTCACTCTGTCTTCAAACCATTCGCCTATTATCACAGTATATACAGTAGCGCAACTCTCTGTCGGCACCTTTGATGTTAGTGAAGCCTAAAATGGAGTGCGCATGCGCGGCCGAGGCGCGTAACCAATCAGGGCACTGTATTCTATCTCACTTCTGCTCTCTGTTTATAACCTTTTCTCTCTTTCTAATTTATGTTCTAGCAATGTCCTAACCTAATTTGGCACATTTGAACATTTAATACGCGTACTAACAAGTAACTTTTATAAAATTATCTTAATTTATTCCATTAT